CGCCAACCTACTGATGGTAATAGAGTATATGGTTTCTCCAGGCGGTATGTTTTGGTCCTTCAACCATGTAGTTAGTCGTTGCTTGTGTTGTTTCATGACCCAATTATCCGAACGACCATTTCTCTCCGCCATAATGATAGTCAAGTGTTCATCAATATACGGTTGCATCAGTTGTGTACTCTGTAAGACACTGTAATGCACCCGACTCACCTCTTTGTAATCAAGTTTGATGAACACTTTTCTACCACTGGTGCCCTTCCCAGCCAGCCTACCCTTATGACGAGAATCAGGTTTACCAATCCCTTTCTGTACTTTTAGATACTCTTGACAGCACTCGACGACTTCTTCAGTACTGTAACCCTCTATCATGGAGCCCTCTGGGTATGCTCGATTATGCACGTATCGACTTAGAACCGACATGAACTGCTCGTAGGACCACATTTCATGCAAGTAGCAAGGGCCAAGCGCCTGTATTTGATGAACCATGTGAATCATGAAATGTGGCATTATATCAAAAAAAGCAAGAGGTAAACACATCTCCAGTTGGTTTTGTGTCTCCACCATAAATTCATGTAGGTCACTCAGCTCTTCCTTACCAATCGTCTTCTGTGAGATCTTCGAAAAGAAGTAGCACATGCGGGTGATAGCCATTTTTAAGAACTCTGGCTTTATAGCCCTGATTGCAATAGGTAGAAACACTGTCAACATCACATGGCAATCGTGAGCCTTGCAGTGTGTTATTGACAAGTCCTTCATCGACACTAGCTTCTTCACATTTGCTGAAAACCCAGTCGGGACTTTGATCCCCCTCAGGAAAGTGCATATAGCTCTCTTCTCGTCTGGTGTTAGGTTGAAGCACACCGCGGGCAAAGTGTATTTTCCATTAGCCTCAGGTACCGGGTGAAGCTATGGCATCACGTTTAGCTACACCATGTCTTTCCGTGCTTTCAGACCATCCTTTGACTTGCCTGTGTCCATCAAGGTAGCAATGAGACTCTCAAAGACATTCTTCTGCACGTGCATAGCATTAATGGCATGGGGGACCTCCAAGTCTAGCCAATAAGGCAGATACTGAAAGAAGATCGATTGTTTCTTGAAAGGTACGCCTTCGACAGGAGGTGTGCTTCTATCTCTGTTCCTCCCATCCGGATTCTTCTTTCCATAGACGACGCGTATGTTTTTCACCATTCTGTACACATGTTCTCCGTTATGACATCTCTCCGGAGGGGGTTCAATCTCCGGCGCGTTGTTATAAAATCTAAAGAACAATTTGTTGTGGTACTTGTGACTTGTCTTTAAGAAGCGTCGGTTCCTTAGGTAAACTATCTTCTTGGATGCATCCAGGTACACCCATGTAGTACCATCCAAGCAAACCAAGCATCTCGTCTTCCCTTTGATCTGTCCAGACAAAGCAAACAACGCGGGGTAATCATTGGTAGTAACAAATATTATTGCTCTACATATGAAGTCATCCTTTCGAAATGCATCATACATCTGTTCCCCATGCCTCCATAGCCTCTCCATTTCTTGCATCAAGGGCTCGAGGAACACGTCTATATCAATGCCTGGTTGTTTAGGGCCAGAAATAAGAATAGTGGGGAGAAGGTACTTTCTCTTCTGACACAACCATGTTGGGATGTTGTACATGGTCAAGATCACTGGCCATGTGATGTGGTTGCTCATCCTCTCATTGAAGGGATTTATTCCATCGGTGCTCAAGCCAAACCGTACATTCCTTGGGTCATCGTTGAATTCTTTGTGCTTCTCATCAAACCTTTGCCACTGACTACAATCAGCCGGGTGTGCAATCTTATCATCATCCACCTTGCGCTCATCATCCCACCATGTCATGAGTGCGGCTTCTTTAGGGTTTAGGAAGATACGTCTCAAGCGGTCGGTCACTGGCAGGTACCACATTACCAGGGCATGAATTCTTCTCTGCTTTGCATCGTTGCCTAATGGAGTGTCCTCTGGGGGCTAGGATTCTTATACCACCTTTTTTGTACCCTTCTTATTCTTCTTTTTCCCCGTGGAGGGTTCGTCCCCACCGTAAAGGTCATTGTTCTTGTACCGGCTAGCCCCATACCGGGGACATTTATCCAGTGACTTGAATGTTTTGCCATGAAAAAGTATACAGTGGTTGGGGCATGCATGTATTTTTTCAACCCCCATTGTCAATGGACTTATGACCTTCTTCGCTTGGTATGTGTTGGCGAAAACTGAGTTTGGTTGTGGCAGCACCCATGACAGGAGATGCAATAGATCATTGAAACTACAGTCTGACCAGCCGTACTTAGCCTTCAGGATGAGCAGCTCAAGCATGAAACGTAGCAATGTCCAATGTGTCGGACAACCCTTTTCAACACCATACACAGTCTTCTTCGATGCTTTTGTCACTCTTTCCAAATTTTTTAGACCTTTTGGACTATTTAGTAAAATCTTTGGTCCAAGGGTTCGAATCATGTCCTCTAAATCATCTTCATCCCCGACACGTGCTCCACCATCATTATTGGCACCACCTTCGTCGTTACCATCCCAACCACCAGCATCACCACCTTGTTCATTACCAAACTCGAAATCCATTTGTGCATCAAGCTCTGCTGAATATTGGGACAGGGATTCTATGGTTTCGTCGTCGTATTTCTCCTCATCCTCGTCGTTAACAATAACCGTTTCACCATGATGAATCCACACTGTGTAGTCCTCAACAAATCCTCGCATAATCAAATGTGATCTGATGATAGTCACATCTGTCCATGCCATACGGTTCTTGCAATCTTTACAGGGGTAAATAATTGTATCCTTATTCTCTTTCAATGTCGTTGTATGCTTCGTTGCGGCTTCAATAAATTTATCCACCTCTTCACGAAAACCTGCCTTGAACCTTAACGAACCATACATCCAAGAGTTCATGTACTCCTTCTTTTACAACAACAACAAAACAAACATTAAAGGACTACTTATTCAGATATATATAAAAATGAATCAAAGTAATAATTATTTGAGAATAATTGTATATACTTCAGATATATATGAATATAAATCTAATATAATTACATGAAGCATACAAACACACCATGGTAGAGGAAAATTAATTAATGGCCCATTTATCCATAAATAATTAAAATACATATTTATTGATTACAATAAATAATTTCAAAGACAACAATTAGCAATAATTATATTTTACCCAATATCTTTCATACAAACCCTAGTCCAATTTCATCAAACATAAATTTACAAAAACAAAATTAATAAAAAATCAAACTCTAGATCTAGATCATCATGCACATGAAACATCCAAAAAACTAACTAATTGTTCACTAAAATCAAGAAACATAGACCAAATAAGGGTATGATCTTGTTCCCTCCTTAATTTACTCTAGTACATTTAAAACTTGGGTCTAATTTGCTTCATAAGTTGCTCAAGCACCATAGAAGAGAGAGAAAAACAAAACTCTAATTACTCACTAACCAACCATTAAAACTTCAAAAAAAGTGTGGAATAGCATTTTCTTACCTTCTACAACTTCTCCACCAAAATATTTGAGACCAAAATCTTCCCTCCTTAGTAGAGCATTTTTTGGGAGGTGCCTAAGGCCTCCCCACCTTTCTTTCACGAGTTAGAGTGAGTGACCCGAGGAGGAAGAAGTTGCTGCATGTGTTTTATATGGGGGGCATTTGTAGGGGCGGCTGGTGATTGAGCCACCCCTACAAATCGGAGCTATAAATACAGGGCCATTTGTAGGGGCGGCTCAATCACCAGCCGCCCCTACAAATACCATTTGTAGGGGCGGCTGATGATTGAGCCGCCCCTACAAATCAGACCCTATTTGTAGGGGCGGCTCGTATCACCAGCCGCCCCTGCTGTTCCATTTGTAGGGACGGCTGGTGTCTGGGCACCTGAGCATGTCACTGTAGGGGCGGCTCCATCACCAGCCGCCCCTACAAAAAATTCGAACCGTTGCTAAAAATCATTTTTTACGTAGTGACTCTAGGACGGTCTAGATGAGGAGATGGTTGATTATGAGCCATCCACAAAGTGATTGGATGTCAATGTTGTTTATTTGTCATCCGATGGTGATTTTATTGGAGATGCAAGGACGATGGCCCAATTTAATTTTTCAACTCAGAGTGCCACCTTTTGAGAAACAAAGACTTCGTGAATCATTTCAAGCCGCTGCAAGTGAAGGGCCATATCAATGGCACACCGATAACATGTTGGTGGATAGCGGAGCAATTGTGAATTTAATGATATATTCGTTTTATAAGAAGCTTGGTGTCACGGATGAGGAGTTGGTCAAGACCAACATGACGATCAGCGGTGTTGGTGGTGGTGAGCAATTCCAGCAAAGAGTGTTGAATCGATGGAACTTACTATTAATTAGGAGCAAGACCTTGGCTACGGCTTTCTTTGTTGCGGAGGTGCAAGGAAGCTACAACTTGATTCTTGGGCGCAATTGGATCAATGCCAATCAATGTGTTCCTTCTAGCTTGCACCAGCTCCTGGATGATGAGATAGAGGTTGTCCACGTAGACTCATCGGCCCAAGTTGCTACGGCCGATGAGTTTGTGGCATGGATTTCATATATATCTTCTGGTAACTGGAAATAGCAGCTAAGTATAATATAGACAAACTTGTTCACAGCAGACGATGTTTATATACCCAAGAATCATAGCAATTACTAGAGTTGTTTTTGAGTCTTGATTCTCTTCCCTATCTCTGTTAAACTGTTTTACCTCAATTTTGGAGCTATCAGCAAACAAGTTTTCTGCAGATTTAGCTCCACTCCTGAAATTTTTTTATATAATGAAAAAGCTCCACTCCAGAATTTACATCTTTAATTTCTATTGTAAGAGTCCAGCATCCATATATGGAGATTTATGCAATTCGTCACTTGATTTAACAGCTCAATAACATGATGAATACAATATCCTGATGCATCTTTGACTAATTCTTTGAATTCTTGACACTTAACCATACAATTGAAGGATTGATCTCATCGTGCCACAGGACCTATTTGAGTTTCTGATATATTGCCGACCTGTTCCAACTCAAGCATAGTTTCCTGTCTTGCTTCACTTGCTTGTGCATCACTCTGCAAGTCAACACTAGTTGCACTGAGATTGACTGTGCTGCTCGGCACTGAGCTGTAATATCCCATTGCATGCAGGGCATCCAGCTCTAAGGTCTCCTTGAGCTCCATCACAACATGAGTCATTGTTGGTCGTTCCCGCGATGGCTGCTCTTTGCACTGCAGAGCCAATTCTGCAACTTTCCAGACAGAGTTGACATCATACTCTCCTTCCATCCTCGGGTCAACAATGCTCTCGATATTACCCATCGAGAGCTTCTGACGCACCCAAAGTGCAATGTGGATTCTATCGGTGCTAGTGATGGTGACTGCTGGTGGCTGGCCTGTGATGAGCTCAAGTAGCACAACTCCAAAACTGTACACATCACTCTTCTCACTGAGCCTGGATGTGTTATAGTATTCAGGGTCCAGATAGCCTAGGGTACCTGCTGGTTGGGTTGTGATGTGGGTATCGAAATCATTGGCAAACACCTTCGTGAGCCCGAAGTCTGATATCTTGGCCTCTAGATCAGCAGACAGCAGAATATTTGTCGTCTTCACATCCCTATGGATCAGTGGTGGTTGGCATGCCTTATGTAGATACTCCAATCCTGCATTAGCCGGTAATTAGGTTGCAATTGGTTAAGCATTTGGTGAATTTGAAGAAGCTAGTTTAATTTGTTACTGAAGCATCCCAGATTTAATTGGGATAATTAACTGGATAGTACATGAATTTAAGTTCAATCTACCATGATACAGGATGTATCTCTTATTACTAATTTCCTATGTTAATATTTCAGGTGTGTACAGGCATACAAACCATGGGCAGAGTCTAGAGCAATCTTCAGACGTTGATGCCAAGTGAGGGGTGTAATAGCAGACACCTGGCCTGCGATGTATGATCATAACAGATTGGTTATAGAAAGGTTTGTACAAAATCATGATAATAATAGCATGTGGTTCATTGGTGAAATTGGACAGTAGTGTAAGTTACTCAATTCTTATTCCCATGACGAACTCATAATGTGCCTTTGCAGAAGAACTAGAGCCCCTAATTACACCATGATGGTAACAGTAGATAAGTAATATTGTCTCATTGAAATTGAGTGTGTTTGAAACCATAACCAACAAAATATTTTTTTGACCGAATCAGCAGGGGAAACCCCTACCTATTTTTTTTCCTTTTCAATTAAATGAAAGAATGTTTATGTACAAAGTAACCAACAAAATATCCCCATAAGTTTTTTGGCATATGTTGGAAGTGTGTTTGACAAAGCTATCTGAGACTCATGAGTTCAAGAGGTGCTACCATACCTCTTAGACGGTTCTCTAGGTTTCCACCTTGCATATATTCATAGACAAGGGCTAAATGTTTCTTGTCTTTGCAATACCCAATCAAGGAAACAAGGTTTCTGTGATGAACTCTAGTCAAGTGTTGAGCCTGAAACACGTAATAAGGTCATTTATTTCAGTTTTCAAGTGCACGCAGAAGGTAAATTCAACTGAATGTCTTACCTCAGCTGAAAATGCTTTATCTCCTTGAGATGTTTTTGTACACATCTTGATAGCAACCGGACTTCCATTCTCCAAATACCCTAGGAATACAGCACCAAATCCTCCTCGCCCTATTTCTTCTTCGAAGTTAGCTGTCATGCGCTTTAACTCTTTGTAAGTGAACTGTCTGTTTCCAAACGCAGTCGACCTTTCTTGAGGACTAGGAAGCCTTGAGTTGTTTGCTGTCCATGTAACTAGTGCCAAACCACATCTTATATGAATAACCTTCAGTGAATACAGATTTTGTGGTTTTGTGTACGGAATGTTACCTTGTTTATGTTTCAGTCTATGAAGGATAAGTGCTGCCACAAATAGTAGTGTCGCTACTGCTATTGGGACAACTATTGCGATGGCAAGTATTCTCTTGCCATTCTTGTTCTCCGGTTCACAGGTAGAAGCACCATTATCACATATATTTGCATTGTTACCAATCCTAGCATCGGCGTAACACTTTGAATTGGTTAATTAAATGGAAAGAAAGTAGTGACTGTGCTTATTCGATTCAAGTAGCAGTAGTTGTTTCTTTAACAATTTCTTGTCCATGGAACATCCAGGAGGAACTGCATAATGAATCTTTTACCTGTGTGTCATTATAAAAGATGGTCCCGACCTACAGGCCACTAAAAAGTTTGAACGCACCCAGATGTCATTGGCCAAACTTTTTTTACCCTCCGCATCATTCCGTCCACCCTCCGCCTGTTTTTTGCCGTTTACCAGCTCTGACACGTGGACCCGCCCAGTGAAAACCCCCTCTCTCCCAATCCCTCTCCACGTCGCGCTCCTGTCCCTTCGGCGCTCCCGTTGGAGCAGCCCGTTCTCGTCACCGTGGACGTCGTGCGTGCGTCCTCGCCGCCGTGGGCGTAGTCTCCTCGCTCACGGCCGCAGCCGCGGCTTGCTCGGTGTGGGCACAGTCTCCTCGCTCGCGGCACTGCGGACTCCGCAGCGGCCTCCTCCTCCACCCTGCCGGCGACCTGGTCCCACTCATTCGCGTCGCTCACGCCCACATCCCACCTCCGGTCGTCGTCATGGTCCTCCAGCTGCAGGCAATCCCAGCAGAGTGGCAGACCGAGCTCCCCGTCCTCGTCGGGTGGCGCCCACTCGTCGTTGTCCTCATGGGGCAAGGCACTTGCAGTGGCGCCCCGCTGCCGGCGTCAGGGACGGCGCGCACGGCCGCGGGGTGGGGTGGGGTGGGGTGCTCGCGGCGGCGCCCGCACTACCGGCGAGAAGATGACCAAGAGAGGGAAGGAAAATTCCAGACACGCCCGTTCTCGGCTTTGCGGCCATGGCGGACAGCGGCAACGGGATCAGCCAATACGGCCCCTACCCTTGATCGGGATTGCTTCCAGGAGCTAGCTCTCGACCATAATCACTCCTATAAGGAATGGAAACGAGAAGGCTCGCTCGTGGTGAATTTTTGAAAGATGCAGAGGGTGGCCATGGCAGACGCGTTCAAGCTTTTATAGCCGGGCATCGTGAGGCAGGGCAGACACAGGCTCGATTGGTGCTTGCGGTGGCTCCAGAGCACGGCGGGGCATCCACTTGCGCAGGTGGCGAGCGCCACGCGTGCCGCGCAGGGCCGGGGGAGCTCGCCGCCACCATGGATAAGGCCCAGGTTGCGGACGATGCCCACGCCCAGACGACTACGTCGTGTGCGGCCGCGGTGTACGCTAAGGAATGGCAACCTCGCCGCGACTAGCTCGCCCACCTTCCAGAACAGCGCTCAAGGGCCTCGTCAAGCTGTAGGAGCGGTAGCGCGACGGCAGCAGCTTCACCGCCGTACGCCGGGACGGAGCTCGCTCGCGGCGGCCGGGGCGAGCTCGCCCGCACACCGGTAGAGATGGCCGGGGCACCGGTCGCGTTGGCTGGGGATGCCCCCAGCGCTGCATCGGGCTCTCGGCCGTCGATTCGGCCGAGGCGGCGCTCAGCTACAGGGAAAAGAAGAGAAAGAGGAAGGTTTGGGTGGCTGACAAACAGGCCCCACTGTAGGGCAAAATGGTCATTTCATTTCTCTGTTTGACACCGTTAGAGGCAAAAGTGGATAGAATGGGACAGAGGGTAAAAGAAGTTCAGCCAGTGGCACCTGGGTGCACTCGAACTTTGTAGTGGCTTCTAGGTCAGGATTATCTTTTATAATGGCACATAGGTAAAAGACTCAAAACAAAACCTCTTTGGATTAAATGAACTCTGGAAGTCGCTACGTGATGCAAACCTTAAGACAAGAGATCCATTTTGATGTTTTTGTAGTAGAACAGCTGGAACCGGTCCACTGAGTTTGTTGCTTGACAAATCACTGCAGAAACCCAGCTTGATATGTTGACTGAATTTGGATAAAGTGGTTTTCTGTTCAGGTATATAGAATACTTACAGGAATGTGAGCGATGGCATTTGCACTAGAAAATCAGGTACTGGACCAGATAAACTGTTATTGGACAGGTCCCTGCAATTATAATTCTTGTGAAAAGTACTGAGATAGACATTAGAGCACAAAAGTAAAACTTGAACATTATGCTAATTCGAATTTTTGTAACCTTGATCAACTAATAACAAAATTATTTTATTCATGTTGCACCAAGCCACGAATCACTACATTTTGTTTAATCATGTTGTCTTACAGCCATTGGAGGGATTTCAGATTTCCGAATGAAGCATCGATTCCACCACTCAACCCACTAGATGACAAGCGCCTGCAGCAAGTCAAATAATTAATCGAATGTCAGGGAATGAAAACAATATTAAATTATTCATTCTCTTCAGTTATGTAGCATCCATGTAATAAGTCTATAATCATCCTATACTTTATGGTAGAATGCCTTTTGTTTTTTTAAAGACATGGTAATGTCTTTAGGGGTCATACTTACAGAGCTGTGATCCATGCAGGGCCAGACGAAAAATTACTGCAGTTCAGTCCGTCCCAAGCAAATGCTTTAGGTGCACAAGGGTCACCCATCCAATTTTTCTTCAATGCATATTTCGTGCGAATTGCCATCATGGCCTTGGCTGTTCATATGGAAAAAAGATGGTAATTCTGAAGTCATGCTTTGTGACATCCAGGTTGACTGAAATCATTTTGGGCAAATTTAAAGTGTCAAAACTGATACCATCTGCACCATTCGTTGCGAGCTCAGTCATTGGCAGGACTGAATATATCTCGAATGCATTCAGGATTGGTGGAAGAGTCGCATCTGGTGTGGCAACCAGCGACACAGTGTGTTGCCTTGACCCCAGCACCATCCTCTTCACAAGCTCGGAAGAAAGGTACTTCGGGCTGTAGCGCTGGCTACCGTTCCATGTAGAGTTGTCGACAAGGATATCAAACCGCCTCACTGCATTGCTTGGCAACCTCTGCACCTCTTCGAAGTACAGCAACAGGAGGTATGATGTGTTGTCATTGTTTATGGAGGAATCCGAGCTCCATGCGAAGTCGATCTGGGTTCCATTCACTGGAGTGGCGGCACTCCACAGTATCATGGGTAACGTATGGAAGCTGCTGATGTTGGAGACGTCGACGGGTCTTGTAATGTTGGTCCATGCATCAATGTCGCCATAGGCCTGCCAGAGCCGGTCGTACGGATCAAATGGGTACCTGTTGTGTGCAGAAGACCATAATGAAAAGAATTGACGGAAGGGTGCTGGAATTTAGGGAGTGTTTAGCTCCCACCTAAAATTTTTCCATACCATCGCATCGAATGTTTGAACACATGCAGGAGGAGTACTAAATGTAGACGAAAAAACTAATTGCAGCAGTTAAGTTGGAAGCCACGAGACTAATCTTTTAAACCTAATTATCCCATAATCAACCTTAAGTGCTACAGTAACACACATGTGCTAATGACGGCTAACTTAGGCTTAATAAATTAAATCTCGCGGTTTTGAGGCGAGTTATGTAATTAGTTTTTATTAGTATCTGAAAACCCGTTCCGATATCCCATAAAACATCGATGTGACATAAAAACTTTTCACCCACCAACTAAACACCCCATGCAGATCTGAACACCACGACGGAAAGTAGTAGAGCAGCAGAGGCCGTTGACCTTGGAAGAGGAATGGGGTTTCAGTCAGAGCCATAGCGCTTTTAGAAGATTTGGTGAGTTTTCTTTTTCAGAAAGTTTTGGTGACTCGGATTTAAGAATCAGAATCAAACCATAACCCGGGCCCCTTTGGAAAGTACTAAAAACGGAAGAATGCTCAAGAAGTCCAATCGAAATGAATGGACACTGGAAAGGCATCCTAACAGCCGGTTTGGAGGAAGTTGACTTAAAGAACAGAAAAAGTTTCTTATCTCACACACTACTTAGGCCGCTCCAACAATTGACTTTTGACCTAGCTCTAAATATTTCTTTCATATTTTAATGCAAGAAAGAGAAAAGCTTGCTAGGCTGTTATACACATTCCAAGATCACGTGAGAAAGTTATATGAACGTAATCATCTTTGAGAGTCATTGCTAAAAGTTGACACTATTGGAGATATTGACTTAGAGCTACTAACTAGCTCTCTTACTGCTATGGTGTCCTTATAGGGCAAATGTGATACTAGTCTAAGGTCATCCTGATTTTTTTTAAACAAAGCTGATCCTGAAATTTCTTCGGAGTTGTTGGAAGCAACGTTTCTCCTTTTCACTCATGTCTGTCTCTGCCTAACCCATATAGAGTACCATTTAAATCTTACGGGTTCTTTTTTTTTAAGAATAAACCCTACCTCTATGAGCATCTCCGAAGGACTGAGCCGACAGATCTTGAGATTCACGAAGTCATACTATCGAGAGAGAGGTCGCCTACCACTAAAAGCATATAAACCCTACCTCTATGAACACCTTATATAAATCCTACCTCTATAAGCACCTTCAAAGGACTGTGCCGGCAGATCTTAAGATTCACGACGAAGTCATACTAACGAGAGAGAGGCCGTCTACCACTAAAAGCGTAGTGTCGTTAAATCCTTAAATAAATCTAGAAAAATACGAGCACACGTACCAAGTCGAGGACTTAAATCCAGGTAGGCAGGTTCCACCACAAAGAACCCAACCAACTGATCTATGATCAGTTCGCAAATCTGACGTGTTCTTTTAATATCAGAATGGTGTGGCAACCAGCGACACAGTGTGTTGCCTTGACCCCAGCACCATCCTCTTCACAAGCTCGGAAGAAAGGTACTTCGGGCTGTAGCGCTGGCTACCGTTCCATGTAGAGTTGTCGACAAGGATATCAAACCGCCTCACTGCATTGCTTGGCAACCTCTGCACCTCTTCGAAGTACAGCAACAGGAGGTATGATGTGTTGTCATTGTTTATGGAGGAATCCGAGCTCCATGCGAAGTCGATCTGGGTTCCATTCACTGGAGTGGCGGCACTCCACAGTATCATGGGTAACGTATGGAAGCTGCTGATGTTGGAGACGTCGACGGGTCTTGTAATGTTGGTCCATGCATCAATGTCGCCATAGGCCTGCCAGAGCCGGTCGTACGGATCAAATGGGTACCTGTTGTGTGCAGAAGACCATAATGAAAAGAATTGACGGAAGGGTGCTGGAATTTAGGGAGTGTTTAGCTCCCACCTAAAATTTTTCCATACCATCGCATCGAATGTTTGAACACATGCAGGGAGTACTAAATGTAGACGAAAAAAACTAATTGCACAGTTAAGTTGGAAGCCACGAGACGAATCTTTTAAACCTAATTATCCCATAATCAACCTTAAGTGCTACAGTAACACACATGTGCTAATGACGGCTAACTTAGGCTTAATAAATTCGTCTCGCGGTTTTGAGGCGAGTTATGTAATTAGTTTTTTATTAGTATCTGAAAACCCGTTCCGATATCCCATAAAACATCTGATGTGACATAAAAAACTTTTCACCCACCAACTAAACACCCCATGCAGATCTGAACACCACGACGGAAAGTACTAGAGCAGTAGGCCGTTGACCTTGGAAGAGGAATGGGGGTTTCAGTCAGAGCCATAGCGCTTTTAGAAGATTTGGTGAGTTTTCTTTTTCAGAAAGTTTTGGTGACTCGGATTTAAGAATCAGAATCAAACCATAACTTCGGGCCCCCTTTTGGAAAGTACTAAAAACGGAAGAATGCTCAAGAAGTCCAATCGAAATGAATGGACACTGGAAAGGCATCCTAACAGCCGGTTTGGAGGAAGTTGACTTAAAGAACAGAAAAAGTTTCTTATCTCACACACTACTTAGGCCGCTCCAACAATTGACTTTTGACCTAGCTCTAAATATTTCTTTCATATTTTAATGCAAGAAAGAGAAAAGCTTGCTAGGCTGTTATACACATTCCAAGATCACGTGAGAAAGTTATATGAACGTAATCATACTGAGAGTCATTGCTAAAAGTTGACACTATTGGAGATATTGACTTAGAGCTACTAACTAGCTCTTACTGTTGCGGGTGTCCTTATAGGGCAAATGTGATACTAGTCTAAGGTCATCCTGATTTTTTTAAACAAAGCTGATCCTGAAATTTCTTGGAGTTGTTGGAAGCAACGTTTCTCCTTTTCACTCATGTCTGTCTCTGCCTAACCCATATAGAGTACCATTTAAATCTTACGGGTTCTTTTTTTTTAAGAATAAACCCTACCTCTATGAGCATCTCCGAAGGACTGAGCCGACAGATCTTGAGATTCACGAAGTCATACTATCGAGAGAGAGGTCGCCTACCACTAAAAGCATATAAACCCTACCTCTATGAACACCTTATATAAATCCTACCTCTATAAGCACCTTCAAAGGACTGTGCGGCAGATCTTAAGATTCACGAAGTCATACTAACGAGAGAGAGGCCGTCTACCACTAAAAAAGCGAGTGTCGTTAAATCCTTAAATAAATCTAGAAAAATACGAGCACACGTACCAAGTCGAGGACTTAAATCCGGTAGGCAGGTTCCACCACAAAGCACCCAACCAAGCGATCTATGATCAGTTCGCAAATCTGACGTGTTCTTTTAATATCAGAATGGTGTGGCAACCAGCGACACAGTGTGTTGCCTTGACCCCAGCACCATCCTCTTCACAAGCTCGGAAGAAAGGTACTTCGGGCTGTAGCGCTGGCTACCGTTCCATGTAGAGTTGTCGACAAGGATATCAAACCGCCTCACTGCATTGCTTGGCAACCTCTGCACCTCTTCGAAGTACAGCAACAGGAGGTATGATGTGTTGTCATTGTTTATGGAGGAATCCGAGCTCCATGCGAAGTCGATCTGGGTTCCATTCACTGGAGTGGCGGCACTCCACAGTATCATGGGTAACGTATGGAAGCTGCTGATGTTGGAGACGTCGACGGGTCTTGTAATGTTGGTCCATGCATCAATGTCGCCATAGGCCTGCCAGAGCCGGTCGTACGGATCAAATGGGTACCTGTTGTGTGCAGAAGACCATAATGAAAAGAATTGACGGAAGGGTGCTGGAATTTAGGGAGTGTTTAGCTCCCACCTAAAATTTTTCCATACCATCGCATCGAATGTTTGAACACATGCAGGGAGTACTAAATGTAGACGAAAAAAACTAATTGCACAGTTAAGTTGGAAGCCACGAGACGAATCTTTTAAACCTAATTATCCCATAATCAACCTTAAGTGCTACAGTAACACACATGTGCTAATGACGGCTAACTTAGGCTTAATAAATTGTCTCATGGGTTTTGAGGCGAGTTATGTAATTAGTTTTTATTAGTATCTGAAAACCCGTTCCGATATCCCATAAAACATCTGATGTGACATAAAAAACTTTTCACCCACCAACTAAACACCCCATGCAGATCTGAACACCACGACGGAAAGTACTAGAGCAGTAGGCCGTTGACCTTGGAAGAGGAATGGGGGTTTCAGTCAGAGCCATAGCGCTTTTAGAAGATTTGGTGAGTTTTCTTTTTCAGAAAGTTTTGGTGACTCGGATTTAAGAATCAGAATCAAACCATAACTTCGGGCCCCCTTTTGGAAAGTACTAAAAACGGAAGAATGCTCAAGAAGTCCAATCGAAATGAATGGACACTGGAAAGGCATCCTAACAGCCGGTTTGGAGGAAGTTGACTTAAAGAACAGAAAAAGTTTCTTATCTCACACACTACTTAGGCCGCTCCAACAATTGACTTTTGACCTAGCTCTAAATATTTCTTTCATATTTTAATGCAAGAAAGAGAAAAGCTTGCTAGGCTGTTATACACATTCCAAGATCACGTGAGAAAGTTATATGAACGTAATCATACTGAGAGTCATTGCTAAAAGTTGACACTATTGGAGATATTGACTTAGAGCTACTAACTAGCTCTTCTGCTATGTGGTGTCCTTATAGGGCAAATGTGATACTAGTCTAAGGTCATCCTGATTTTTTTTAAACAAAGCTGATCCTGAAATTTCTTCGGAGTTGTTGGAAGCAACGTTTCTCCTTTTCACTCATGTCTGTCTCTGCCTAACCCATATAGAGTACCATTTAAATCTTACGGGTTCTTTTTTTTTAAGAATAAACCCTACCTCTATGAGCATCTCCGAAGGACTGAGCCGACAGATCTTGAGATTCACGAAGTCATACTATCGAGAGAGAGGTCGCCTACCACTAAAAGCATATAAACCCTACCTCTATG